GGCATTCAAAGGAGACTCTAAAGCTCAGCCAAGCTATGTCCTAGTCACATGATCATAACAATAGGCACATCTGTTCTGATGTGCCTATTTAACATTTAACAATGGGAAGCCTGAAGAAATGCGAGCATTGTGTCGTGAATAGCTGTTGTCAAATGCTCCTCCTCAAACCCTGCATGCACAGATACATGTCTCAAACTGGAAGATTGAGCTGAATCATCTCTGCTCAACCCCTAGAAGGCTCTCAGTAAACATCGATGTTTGTGGGACTGGGGGATGGCTCAGTGGATAAAGCACTGGGCATTGAACCATGAACATTCTGGTTCAAATCCTAGTACCCATGTAAATCCGTGGTGTAAGTGGCAGCTCCCCCCACCCCTGTGATTCCAAAGCTCTGAAGGAAAAGACAGGTGTTCTCTAGAGCAAGCTGACTAGACATACTAGTGATACCAAATACATAGAATGATGGAAGAATGATGGATGTACCACAAAGTTTCTGCAAATGTCACCGGCAGTGGGAGAGGAGAAGGTTTTGCTTGAAGTACTGCTGTATGGTTTTCACTATGGCACTGAGAACTTGTTTTATGTGTACAAATGTTTTGTCTGCATGTATGCCAATGTATCGTGTGCATATGTGGTACTCATGAGCTACAGACAGTTGGGAACCACGCTTGAGTCCTCAGCAGGACCAGCAGTGTTCTTATCTGCTGAGCTCTCTCCAGCACCTCAGCATTTGTCATTTTAATGGTTTAAAATTAAACACTTAAAACACATTTCAGGCTGGCAAGATGGCTCCCACAAGTTGTTCTCTTACTACACAAACACACACACACACACACACACACACACACACGGTGAGGGGGGAGGGGACAGACAGAGAGAGAGAGAGAGACAGAGAGAGAATATAAAAAATAGAAAGTGTATTTAAATTTTCACCAAACATAAGGCTATTCAGGTCATGTAATTTCCCTGTCCAAAACTCTCCAGTAAGATGAATTACAACTTAGAAGCACACGGCTGTCCTGGCAAGTGTGAAGACACAGGATGCAACTTATACCCCTCCGTGGCCTTCCAACCTTTTTTGATCTGCCCTTTGATGGCCCCTTTGGTTTCATGTTGTCTCCTGATGATCTGTAGCCACGTGTCCTCTGTCGAGGCCATTCTGATCTTGTTTTTGCTGTTCTTTGTCCCTATCCACCTCACATGCATGGTCCTTTCTCTTCACTCAGATTTCAACTCAGCCATTACCTTCTTAGTGGCTTCCCTGAACATTCATGTGGCAGGGCTTCCACAAAATGATGAGGAGAGGAGAGAGGTGTAAATTGAGTGGAAGGATGGGTGTGGGTGAGGTGGGTAGATGAGAGAGTGAGTAGGTGGGTGGGTGGAAAGGTAGAAAGGAAAATTTATGGAAGATGGATGGGTGGATGGATGGATGAGTGGATGTATGGATGGGTAGGTGGGCGGGTGGGTGGATGGATGGGATGGATAGATGGATAGATAGGTAGATGGATAGGTGAGTGAATGGATGGATGGGTAGGTGGGTGGATGAACGGATGAGTAGGTGGATGGATGGATGAATGGATGGATGGGTGAGTGGATGAATGTATAGCTGTAACTCAGGTCAGTGACCCCTTTGGGGTTTGCATATCAGATATCCTGCATATCATATATTTACATTAGGGTTCATAACAGTAGCAAAATCACAGCTATGAAGAAACCAAAAAATTGTGTGTCACCACAACATGAGAAAGTATATTAAAGGGTCTATAGTATTGAGAAGGTTGAAAACCACTGCCCTAGCTGCTTGCTTGGGTACAGCAATGCTAACAACACGTACTAAGCACCCAGTCCTGTTCTTAGCACGGTACACACAGCCTCATAGAGGACATGTGTCACCTCATCGACCTATTGCAATTCTGTGAGGTGCTTCCATGACCTCAGTTTTGCAGATGAGGACGGAGCGCTCAGAGAGGCTCTGTTGCTTGCCCCAAGGCTACACAGCTGGTGAAGTCAATGAAGTTGGGATTCCAGCAAGCATCACTTTCTTAAGGTGTGGACACAAAAGACAGGCAAGACTCAGCTGGAGGATGTGAAGGGCAGAAGACTCTTTTCTTGGGTCTTCTAATAGAATGTTCCAGTAGGGATCAGGGACAGCACCCATACTCAGATGGCTAATGACATCAGAGGTGGGGATGGACAAGGACACCCAAAGACCTTGGAGGAGTCTCTGAAGGAATTCTAGGCTCACACCTAAATAGAGTGCCATGAATCATTCCTATAGCCCTGCCTTTAGAAGACGTTCCTATAGCCTTCCTTATAGGAGTCATCCTATAGCCCTGCCTATAGGAGTTATTCCTATAGCTCTGCCCCAGATACAAAGAACCCACTTGGAACCCTGAGCCAGGGAAACCCAGGCTTCCTGTGAAGTGCTCACTCAATCTCCCCAGCCACAATCCCACATCTGATTTTTAGATATTTGGGCAACTGCATAAAGGCAAAACCGAGGTGGGCAAACTCTCAAAGGAAATGCCTCTATCTAAACTAGGCCAAAGAGAAAGCAACCCTGACAGAGAAAGAGGCTCCAAACCCCACTGTGCTTGTGAGACCTGTGCCACCAGGGGGAGCTCTCCTCAAACCCAGCGGGATTTTGGTCAGTCCTCCGACTGCTGCTGGAAGGGTGGATGGATATGGTGTCAGAGTCACTCAGACCCTGGTTCTTAATCTGGGTAGGGGGAAATAAGGATAACGTAGGCCGAGATAACATATGTTATCTGAACTTCACGTGGGGAGGGTATATTTCTTATCCACTTTGAATATGTTTAAGAAGAACAAAAGAGAGCACTTGGAAGCTTTTCTAGCACTGGGGCGTCTGAAAGAAGCCTGTGCCCTTGAGGTAGACTCTCCTGGGAGGACACACTTTCAGAAGACTTCATGCTGAGTACCAGTGAAGGTGCTGTCAAGGTTTGGCTTCCAAATGAAAAAGCCTTAACTGTGTGGCATCACACATGACAGTCCTGGGTGTGGCTGTCAGGTGTGGGCATCCCCTCAGCTGTAGCACTGAGCATTTCTCTGATCTTGAGTCTCCAGATACAGGCATTATGGAGATTCCCCTATCCCAGTCTGGAACAAGGTGGCTATGCTTCTTGGTTGGTTTCAAGTGGCCTGTTCTCTCTTTGCCCAGTCACGAAGAGTCTCTTCCTTCTCCCCTTGACTTTCTAGAGAACAAGACTGGGTTTTGGGTGGACAGTTGGGGCCAGGCCTCTTCACTCCCTCCATCAGACTGGGCAGCCTTGGTGTCTGCTGAACAAGGTATGCTCAGAGACTTTCACTTGACCCAGGATTGTTCAACTAGGTGGGATTGGAGGGCTGGAGAGATGGCTGTCATGATTGGAGGCCCTTCTGGCATCTACTGAAAGAGATTTTTTTTAAAAAAAGTTTCTAAGCCTTTTACCAACAGAATTACCAAGTCCCAAATCTCAGAAGTGGCAATAGAGAAAGGCTTTTAGCCACACGGTAAGGGAGGGAGGCTTACCAGAGGGGGTTTTGGATGAAAGGGGATAAGAAAGGAGAGGAAGAAGTAGAATGAGTGGTCAGAAAAGAGAACAGGCACAGGACAGATCACCTGGACCAGAAGTCACTGGCCTAGTCAAGCCACTCAGCTTCATACCTATCCTCATTTATTAAAAAGTCCCCAAGCCACCCAGGTCTAAGCCAGACAGGGTCCTCGTGCTGAGAGGGAAAGTGGACAGAAGCCCTCATCCCTAACCCAGAAGCTATATCCAATTGATAAGCACTCACAAAGGAGAAATGAGTTTTCTTCACTGGAGTTTGACGAGGTGTACAAACCACATTTAAGGCAGGTCGCACTCCTGGGTAGAGGACCATGAAGAATGCAAACACAAATGAACTCAATGGTGTTTTTGGAATTTTGTCTTGTTTTTGTTTGGTTTTGGTTTTGTCTCACAATACTTTGAATTTTTATGTGATTTCTCTGTGTGTGAATGTGCGCTTTGTGTGTTTCTCTTTCTCTCTCTTTTTCTTTCTTTCTTTCTTTCTTTCTTTCTTTCTTTCTTTCTTTCTTTCTTTCTTTCT